AGTCGAGCCGGGATGTGATGAGGGCCCGAGTCGGGATGTGACAGTAATAGCAATTTAAATTTGTGTAATGCTAGAGAGATCAAATTTTAAACTAAATTTTGTAAACCAACGATGTAGTTGTTAGTGATTGGTTTATTGCTCAAGTGTTAATTAATGTGCTTATTTCTTATTGGTGACGCATCATTTAGTTTGCAAATTTGATTAACGTACTTATTTATTTCCACGAAGAGAAAGTGAGCATTTTTTTCTCACCGCCATAAGCTATGGTGTATACTTACCATACACTTAATCATTTGCTACGTGTCCTTTCACTTAACCTTAGTTAATTTTGTTCAAAATTCAAAATGTAACATTTAATGTGAAAGTTAACTAAAGTTAGGTGAAAAGATATGTGGCAGATGGTGTAACATTTAATGTGAAAGTTAACATTTAATGTGCTACCTCACTTCTATAAATTAATATGGAAACGTGGGATGTTGTATATATCTTGCTAGCCGAGTAGCTGGCGTTTATCGACTTGCGAGACAATTTAAAAAAGGAAATTTTAGTTGGACCCATATAACTTCTTTTTACATCCAACTTACTCTCGAAACCCATATTACTTTTAACTAATCTATCAATATCTTTTTAAACCCAAATTTATGATCTAAACAATCCTCATAAACCCAATTCAATATGTAAATTTATCTTTAGACCCATTTAGAAAATACAAATCCAAAATCAAGAAGTGTATAATACTTGAAATCAAGCATTAAGAAATGTACCAAAGCATGTTGCAAAGAAGGTCGATACCAAAGCAGCAAGGTACAGCAAAGAGGTGGACAATTGTAGGCCTTGATTGTTAAATCATAGACTGATGCCAAGGAAATTAAAATTTCATAGCATAGTCTCCATCTCCATGTTCTTTATTTCTTTTTATGTTTTAAACTACAAAAAAATTATTGTAGTCATGATCACATTCTGATGAGAAAAATAGAGTATTGACTTAATAATTTAATTTAATTGGAGTTTTGGTTTTTAATTTAAAAATTGGTGAGTCATAGTTTCGAATTTGTTATAGTGTAGATTAATAATATTTTTGGATAATTCAGTTAAAACTTTTGTCTCTTATTTTTTTGGGATAATTTGGATATGGTCCCTAATCCTTAACATTCTTTGATTAAAACCTTAATAGTATTCAAACTTTGATCAAAGTCCCTTGACTTTGTACACCTCATTATACTACTATTAATATTTATATTTTTATAGTTTTGACATTAATTGTTTGATATTTTATGAGATTTATAATCCTATAAATTTAAAATCCGTCGTTAATACTATTAGAAACGGTTACCAAAAAAAAAATTCAAACATTTTGATTTAATAAATGGATAAAAACTATGTAAAAATAAGAAATAATAAATGGCAAAAGAATGTATCCACAATGTTTAAAAAATTGGTACATTTTACAAAAAAAAAAAAAAATAGGTACATTTCACATATAACAAAGTGGTACATTAATAAAGAATAATTGGTACATTATAAATACATTAGGGTACAGATAAAAGACTAAAAAATTATGAGTACAAATGAATTTTTAAAAAATATAGGTCCTAAAAGAAATTAATACATGGGTACAAAATAAAACTAAAAAGAAAATACTACAATTTTAAAAAAAAATGTTGCAAATTAAAAGTGGGTACAAACTAAAAATATAAATATATGATACAACGTTTAGGCATAAAACATAAATATATCATATGTAATTTTTCTATCATTGATTAAATATACAATGTCATGTGACGGTATATGTCACAGCCCGTCCCAAAGTTTTACACTCGTGATGGTGAATTAACGGAAATGTCCCTAGTACGTGACTAAGGTATAATTTTCACGTTCGTTATATCTAAGCTCCTAAACTTTGGTAATTAGAGTGGAGATTTAGACTTAAATTTTATGATAGAATTTTGTAGTTGGGGATTGGGTAGGATCCCACACACCTCAAATCCTTCCCTCTTTCCCGTACCCTGTCTCTCTCTCTCCTCCCTCACGAACTCTCACTCTCTGTTCTCTCCCTCTCAAGTGCACGGACAAACTCCAAAACCACCCTAAACTTCTACCAACGACGGAGTTAAGACCACCATCAAACTCCTGGAACCTCCACGATCACGATGGTATCCATTTCAGGTAAGTTTTGCTTCGGAAAACCCTAGTTTCAAGTTCCCGTGAAATGGTACTGTTCATGATCTTCTAAATGACTACGTTTTAGGCTAAAACAAGATCACAGCGAGCTTAGTGAGGTCCCAAGGAAGCTCGGAGTGCTTCGTTGGAAGTTTTTGGACGTAAGAACACGGAGATCGACAAGTTCAAAGTTTGGCCGGAGCTTTCGAGGCATTTTCCGGCTAATCCCCGGCGAGTTAGGAGTCGAGGTAGGTATCAATCTCTTCGTCTCGTCAAGTACTACAACTTTCCTTTTTGTTTCACTCAATTTCGTTGAGTATTGAAGAAGTTATACTCATTTGAAAAATACCCAGTTTCCGGCGACCTCCGAGGCTTTCGAGGCAGTTTCCGGCAAAACCACGGCGAACTAGGTGTTGTGCAAGGTACCATTCTCTTTGTCTCTTCAAGGGCTACAACTTTCGTTTTTGAATCACTTGATTTCGTTGAGAAATGACAAAGTTATGGCAATTTGAAAAACTGCCCAGAAAACGGCCGCCGGAAAAACCAGTCCGGCGACCCAAGGAAGAAGAAGGTGCTACAGTTAAAAAAAATAAAAAAAAATAAAATTATTTTAAAAATATGTCGACGTCCGTGACGTCGAGTAGATCACCGTGGTATATTCATATACCCAAATTGAGCACCGTATGAGAAAGTTATTAAGGATTGTTGGTTAGGTGTTCGAATAACGTTTTATAGTTTTCACATTAGGTGAAAATGTGAATTGATGATCCGACCGTTGGATCATCACCAAACTTTGATACGTTGTAATACGTAATATTTGAGGATTATTGGAACTTACGGATTGGGAATCCGAGTTACGGATCTTCCGGAATTGGAATTGTAAGTCCATAATATAAAATGTTAACCATCACTTAGTTTTGGAAATTGACGAAGATCCGACCGTTGGATGGTAATGAAATTTTAGGAAGTTGTCCTAGAGGTATATTGTGGACCTCTGGAAGTTATGGATTTAAAATCTGAGTGGTGGATTTTCCGGATCGAACTACGTAGTGACGTATTTTATATAAGTTATATATTCTATCGATATGAATTCTGAGGTTGGAATTAATTATTGTTTTAGGCGCCGATCGTCATGACGCCTTGATGTGTGGTGCTAGGGAGTTGTAGGGCGAACTCCAGGTGAGTGGGCAGTTTTGTTTTCCGTATATATATATACTTGACGTTTCCCAGAAATTGAATTGAAATGAAAATAAGTTTAAAATGAAATGCATATGAGTTATGTGGAAAAACGGGAAGTGAAATACCATGCATAGAATTGATATGAAAAGTATATAGAAATGTGAGTTGAAATGCCATGCATGAATTAATATATGATGCATATGTATGAATTGGTGCGGTGGACGCACATGTGAGTATTTATTTCTGTTATGATGATGTTGATGTATATTGAGCTCAAATCCTGCACCATAGTTTAGTGCTTATAGTATTCACCGCATCGCACGCTCGTCTCTTGGATCCAAGTAGATGCTAGTCGTACAGTCCACGCGGAGTGGGTACGACAGGCCAGTCGCGAGAGTGTTAGTGAGATTCCGACTGGTGGGTGACCTTAGATTATGTGCACAGATGATTTATGAGAAGCACTAGAGCGTAACTTGTGTGCAGAAGGCCGTACAGGTCACGCGGAGTGACTCCGGCAGAGTGTGAGAGTGATAGATTTTGAGCTCTAGGTTCAACCGTACAGGCTATTAGAGGGCCTCCGGTTGATTACTTTCTTGCACCTGATATGATTATTGTTGATGCATCCATACTTAACTGTTGAATTAGACATGGCATGGCTTGATTGATAAAGAAAAATGTTGAGATAGTAAAAAATGAAGTTTTGAGAATATATATGTATATTTATATTTTACATTTCTGGGAAAGTATACAGGTTTTACGGAGAGGGGTTACAACGTTTTGAGAAATGTTTGGATTTGGAAAAGAATTGTTTTACTGACCCACTCAATTTTGGTTTTGCGCCCCTCCAGGTTCAGGAATCACAAAGGTGTGGCGACTACGAGGAATTCGACGGTGTTCTGACAGATTGGACAAAATTAGGACTCACCTTCGAGTGTATTAACTTATAAATTGTATAATTAAAGCTTCCGTACTGTGCAAATGGTTACGTCACTCTCACGTGACGGCCAGCATGCCCTCCTTCGGGACGGGGTGTGTCAGTATACACATCAGTACAAACACAAAGAAAACTTTAAAAAATTGGGCACAAAAAGAAACTAATATATGGGTACAAATTAAAAATGAAAAGAAAATTGGTACAAATTAAAAAATATTTGCAAATTAAAAATAGGTACAAACTAAAAATAAAAATATATGATAAAAAATTTAGCCATAAATATAATATACTAATTGTAACATTTTAAACACTAAATAAATATATTTAAAAAATATATATTTTATTATTCAAATAATTAATGATGTTATTAATACCCAAGGACCTTGATCAAAAATTGAAAATGAATAGGATTTTAATCAATAGAGTAATAAAAAGAAGGATGTGAACCTAATTTTTCCCATTTTTTTTCTCTTGTAATTTTAGTCAGAATGAACATAAGATAAAGATTGCGTGGTGGTAGGATTTGATTATTAGGTGTGGGTTTATTGATAAATTGTAGTTTCATTGTTAATTTCATCTTGTACTTGATGGTAATTATGCAATATAATAAAAAAGAATATTCACATTTAAAAATTAAATTAGATATAAATTAATGTTTAAAATTTAAATTAGATGTAGATTGATGTTTATATGGGTTCAAATAACATTTCTCAAAAACACAAACAATGTTATATAAGTTTCTCATTCGATTCTCGCTAAAGCAACCCCAGAAAAGCCAATCCCCGCGTACGACGTCGCATTACTTGTGGAGCTGAGCTATCCTGTTTGTTCTTTCTCCCGCTCCTCTCCTCTCCTCGTGTCTCGATCGGAGACGGAGACTGACAAAACCTCTTCCCCTCCCTCTCCTTTTTGAATCTCCAATTTTCCCGCCTTGTCTCCCCTCAGTCTCCGACTCTCACAGAGTCGTCGTCCTCCTCAGTTTACAAGTAGCAGGGCGATTAGGGTTAGGGTTGGGGTTTTCGCCTGGGGGAGGCCTCAGGGCTCAGCAATCGTACTCGTCATCGAAAGGAAGATTTGGTCAGGGCTTCTGACAAATGTCGACCGTAGGATTTCCCCTCCGTTTTATATTTCCAAATTACAGATTACTGTTTCTTCTGTATTTTCATTTTTCTGAAGTTTTGTTCGTTCACAGACAGAAGCGCTCTACTCCAAACTCTACGATAAGTACTCGAAAATCAAGGTGTTCTTTGCTCTTTCCCATTTCTTTTATATTTTATTTGTGCATTAATTGTTGCTTAACCAGTTAATTGTGTGTTACTGGCGTTATAGGATTCATACAGCAGACCTCACTTAGTGGGATACGGCTTTGTTGTTGTTATAGTTAATTGTATGTTAAATTTGTCGAGAACAAATTGAAGGTTAGGGAAATAGAAAGTAATTGTCTTTTTGTATTTCTGAATTTTGGGTGTATTGTAAACGTATTCGTAAGGACCTACGTGCCGCCAATACTCTCAATTAGATATTTCTATATAATCTAAACCTGTTGTGTTGGCCATTTTTCCTAATCGGCGGTGGTTGTTATGCCAGACAAAGAAATGGTCGGAGTTGGAAGATATTGGTAAAGATCAAGAAGGAAAGTTCAAGCATTATGTATCTGGTATTTATTTCTCCGTCAGGATTTGTTTGAATATTGTATTTGAGCTCATTTCTCGCATTTTTTAAGTAAAACATGATTTTTGTGGTAACCGTGACTGAGGCTCAGACTTGACTGCTTCTCTCTGACCCAACTTTGTTGTTTATTTTCTATTTTGCAGTTGTGGAGGAGTATATTCAACATTTGCGAAATGAAAATGAGAGGTTGTGCTCGGAAGTTGGTGATCTGAGAAGTGAAGTTGCTTCTATTAGGCATGAAATTCTAAGTTCAGTCAGATCCATTGGAATTCCGATTAGTCAATTTTTACTATAACCTACGTAACGGGCTCTTGAAACATATATCAAATTGAATGCAGGTCCACCAAAGCTGAACAATGTACCGGGTACCAGAATCGTTTGTTGGAAGAGAACAGGAAAAGTAAGACAACACTGTTCTGTTTAGTTATGGTGCTTTTAACGACTATCCATGTGGAAGTATCTGGATCCTGAGTTTCTTTCTTAATTCTAAATGAGATTTATAGGAATTTTCTATTCACGTACACTATGGATTGTGATCTCGGTGAATCCCATATTTATTTTCTGATAGGAACTAAAATGTCACTTAATTTATACATCTTTGGGAATTTAATGACTGATTTTGCATATGTTGTTACAAAAAGTTATATATAAAGATTTTTGTTATTTTTATCATTAAACATGTGGAAATATTGTTCTGAAATTCTTGTTGTGGTTGCAACTTATGAATTAGTTCAGGTACGCTGCCATCACGTGGATGGATTTAAAGATCTCTTGTGACATCGCGAGAGTTCACCTGTCCCTTTTTTAGTTTCATGGATTTTAAGTCATTGCATGTTTCAATAGGAATGAATATAATCACGATGGTCTTTATAAATCCCATAAAAATGAAGAGGATGTTAGATGGACATCAAATGTGGAGGAAAGGCAAATCACCTAAAAGAGAAACAAAATGGAAAATCTTTTTCGCTCGTGTCTAGGAGATCTTAAATTTGGAAGACCTTGGTTAATATGATAATGCGGATTCTGTGAAACATTCAGATTGACTGAGACAATTGTTTGAATATATGTATATATATTTTCCATTGTTCCATATGGGATAAGTGTAACCTACACATTTTATTGTTCCTTGTCCTTTTTAGAGTATTTTATGAACATGCAAACTAGTAGGGGACTGGTTTCTGTATATTTCTGACACACGCACACGTAAAAAAACATCTCATTTTTATCTTCATTCCCCCCCCCCCACAAAAGTATTTTATGAACATGCAAACTAGTAGGGGACTGGTTTCTGCATATTTCTGACACACGCACACGGAAAAAACATCTCATTTTTATCTTCATTCCCCCCCCCCCTCCCCCAAAACAATCTTAACTAGCATTATTAAAAGAAATTCCTATGGCCACCTGCAGTTCAAGTTTTAGCTAGGAACTATTCGTGCTAAAAGTATTCAAGTGCGATTAGCATGTGCTACCACTGGGGAACATTTATGAACTTCTTTAGTTTTCTTTGCTCAATCTGTGATGGTAATCTAATACCTCTTTCTGTTTGTTGATGACTCAAATTTTTGACAGATGAAAAGCTTTCTGAAGAAGTAGAGAGGCTCCGAAAGCTGCAACAGGAGGGAAATTTTAGCAGATCGAAAGGTAGCAACACAGACAATGGACTTTGTACACCTGCTAGTGGTCAAGTATCAGGAGCAGCAGGAAATCTCTCAAAGAGAAGACGGACAAGTAAGCGTAGGAAGAATTCCCAGTCTGAGGCGGAGGATTTAGTTATGCCTTCTAGTGTGGCTCTTGTAACTGTTCAAGAGGTATTTCTGATAATCCTATTAAGAAATATATTTGAGCAGAAACTTATTGGCTCCTCCTTCTTCTCTGACTAATGTAATCTTTCAGCCACAATGGTGTAGAACTATTGAAAGACCAGGTATGCATCTCCATCTCTGAAACTGAGGTTTCTGCTATATTACTTGTTCACATGGTATTGGGTTATTTTATGCGTTGTATGTTGTTTCCAGGTTGTGCAAAACCAATTGGCCAAGTTAACTGCGTGTTTCAAGTGCTTGTTGAGTATATGGTGGATTTAAAGTTCTCGACTGTTAGTCAAGCTGAAGAAATATGCATCTCAGCTGTGCATCAATCAAGTGGTAATTCTTAGAATTTGAGCGGATTCTAACCTAATAACTTATGAACATCAATGTGTCACATTGTAGGTTTAATTTCTCAATTAAGTGGAAATTTTTGTCATTTGACACAATTACAGTTGAGTATCAGATGCAGGCTCGTAGATAAGGTCCATGTGTATGCTCCAAATTTTTGCATAGCCTCCTAAGCTCATATGAAATTATGCAAAATATATCGGAAAAATTTGAAACGTCAGACATTCAAGGCAAGCACTAAAATTGCAATCCATTTCTGACATGCTGAGCTAGCTAATACATTTGCCCAAATTACTGAATTGAACAACAGGTCAATGCTAGGCTGGAGTCGGACCTACACTATCAAAATTACAGCCCTGTGGTGTTTGCATCCATTAATTCAGTTTTGCAGGAGTTTGTTTAAATTTTGAATACTTCTGTTTACATTTCTGTTTGTGAGCTTGAAACTCTAGGGTTTGACAACTTAATTCACTGAATGTGGCTTTGGTCTCTATATGTCAATGCTCAGCTCGAGACACGATTACAAGGAAATTACTAAAACTTATTCAATTGTTATGACTTTCAGAACAGAATCCCATTTTTTGCTAATATCTGTATCAACTAATATGGATTTCATGCATCTTATGAATTAGTAGGTGTTATCAAAATTTGATAATTATCTGTGGTTGTAACAGGTTACGCCTTCAATCTTACATGGATGAACAGAGCTGCTGGTAGCGAAGTAGAACTTCTGTATCACACCGCATCCTTGGGGACGCTTGAGAGGGAAGCACCAGAATGGATGAAGGATGACATAGTTTTAAGCACAAACATGTGCCCTATCTTCTTTGAAAGGTTATCTCGTGTTGTCAAGCTGCACTCCTAGTACCCCCCGCCCCTCATATTCATCTTTTTAAGGATCATTGTAGGTTATGTATACTGAAAATGCTCCCCCAGTTTTTTTTTTTTTTGTTTTCCGAGTGAATGGTTGAAATTTAAGTCTAACACCAGATATTGATAACATGATCCTTTGCATTTGAATTGAAATTTAGAACATTTGATTTGAGAAAGGGTTGTCAAACCGCATGAGCCAACACTAGCAGTGCTACCTCACTAATGCTCTTGTCAAACCTGTTGAAGCCAAACTCCAAGTCGTCATGAGGCTCTACCACGTACAGAGAAGTGCCGGCAGTAGACAGGTTCAAGACCCTCCGCAACCACAATCTTGATGAACTGTGCGGCCGTGATTACAATACAATCTTGATGTTCTGTTCCCACTGGTCTTGGCGTCATCAAAGCTCGAATTGAAGGAAGGATAGGTCCCTGCACTTCACTTTATCTCTGTACGCTCCTTGGCCATAGTTTTTCCGGTCCACTTGGTGTACTACGGCACCAGAGAGTTTGTCCACCTTATTCAGTGCAACAATGAGGTATTCCTCGTTTTCAAAAGATTATGCGACTCTATTGTTTGAGGTTATAAGCCATCCATAATGCCAACAACCAAAACTGCAACATCACATAAATCTGAACCCCGTGAGCTGATATTAGCGAATGGCTTTTATGCCCCGGGATGTCAATGACCAATTGATCTGGGACCTTCAGCTTTGCGTCAGCTTTCAATTCTTTACTTCTTTCGCAGATGTTCAGTGCAGGAATATCAAAATACTGCCTCAAGAAAACTATGAGAGGCCATTTGTTGGCCTGGTCTATCATAGTTTTCATGAATGGGATTATTATAAAAAAAATAATAACTTTTTATCGTAGCCATAAGTTGGCCAATCCTTAAGATTATTATTATTTAGTTGATAGTCATTAGTTGGCCAACAATCATATTCCATGGGACTTGAGAACCCTCCAACCGTGTACCCATAAGTTGGTAGCTCATAGGTTGGCTTCATATGATTTTCATCATAGCCATAGCTTGGGCATTCTTCAACATTGTCATCCTCTTCATAATCTGGAAAATAGTGGTTGAAAGCATGTTGAGGAAAACCATGAACATAAAGATTGTTCATGATCTAACTCCACCCTTAAATTTGCCATGGGCCTGGCGGTGGGCATGCCAAGAATTTACTCGAACAAGAGATTGCTGATTGCGAGCGTGCCACTACTAGTTGCCGCTAGTAGACATGATTTGAATGATTGAGATTGCGCTTGAATTCAACTTCTAACCAAGAGATTGCGCCATTGAGTGAGAGTTGCTCAAATTAAGGTTCTTTCTTAGCCTTAATGATATGGACTTTACTTATGTGGAGAAATATAACAATATGTAAATGGCAAGTTTGTTGGAAGTGTAGATGATAGAGGAAAATAAAGAAAGTAAGTGCGAATGCACTGGAGGCGTAAATACTGTATGTGAAATGAGTAAATACAATGGCAACAGAAATGTAAATGAGAACACAAGGAAATTGATACTACTTGGAAGAATAGCATAGCTTTAAAAGAAAATACAAGGCTTTTGTAGAATTGAAGTATTAAAAAGGGTGCATAGCTTGAATTGAGTTGAATTGTTTGATTGATTGGTTGAGTCTCGAGTCCTTTGCCTATGCTTCCTTTATATGAGAGAGAGAGAGAGAGAGAGAGAGAGAGAGAGAGAGAGAGCTTCTTTGCTAAGGACATTGAATCTGTGCAAATAAGTTCCATTGCCAACTCCACTTGCAAGAATAGGAAAAGATGCCAACTTGCATATGAAATAATAATAAAAGAAGCAAGTTGATTTTTCCACCACATGTGTATTAATCCCACTTGTGTCTATCTCCCAAGTCCGCCAACATCCTTACTTACAATAAAGTTACCGCTTCAAACCATGTGGAGAAACATTCCCACATGCAACTTTTAGTCTATTTGCACACTAATCCCCAAAATGTCATGTTTTGGCTTTAAACCCAAATAAGTAAAATTATGCATATTTTAGGTGCAAACAACTCCTTTTCCCGTTCCTTTTTGTGACATTTGACCTCCTCCTTTTCCCCTCAAGTTGCTCCTTCCTAAGCCTCTCCTCCTCTTCTTTCCTCTGTCTCTCTTCTTCCTCCTTTTTCATCCTCTCTTCCTCCTCTTTCCGCCGAGCAAAGGCCTCTTGCTTCTCTCTGACATACTTTGGCACTTTCTTGTCCTCGGCCGCTTTACCATCACATACTAATGTTGCTTTGTTCTCCTTCTCCATCTCCTTCTTCTTTCTCTTCTTCTTTGCAGCAACAGACTGCATACTAAGATCATAAGGAACTTGTTTGTCACCTTCTTTTTCACCCGGATCGGCGATTAGGGCAACTATATCAAGTTTTCAACTCATGGTAACTTGAGAATTAGCTAGGGTTGGCAACCGTTCGGTTAGGAGATATAAATGCCATATCATCCCCATAATCACGAAAATTAATCATGTCCATAATTGCAAATTAACCATAAGAGATTATCCATAACCATACCACCGAACAACAGATTTTCCATAGGTTAATGGTTATATTCATCTTCATCAATACAGAACAATTATTTGTTCAACTGACATAAGATACTAATTCCATTATTAAATATCCACATATAAAACATAACAAGACTTTCTGGAAGTGTTCATGATAAGCCAAATATGATAGCAAAGTAAGGCAAATTGGTCCATGAAAAAGGGAGAGGGATGATGATAGGAGCATATTTATGCGACTTTGTTATCTTATTTCTTTGCATTTACTTTGTTAATTTCCATTTATTTTGGTAATTTATGTTATTTTCGTATTATTATAGGTCCAATTGGTAAAGATGACAATAAATGGCAAAATGGAGCAATTTGGAACAGTTTTGGACTTGGATTGGACAGTAAGCTTGGATAGCATATTTTAGTGTTTAAATGGTGCTAGATATGTGATAAAATCTGGTGAAATTAAAGTTGAGGCTTGGAAGACAAGGAATTACACAAGAAAGAGGAATCCTAGTTGGAGAGGAACACCTTATCTTATCCAATCTTACTTTATCTTATCTCCAACTGGAAGGAGGAATCCTTATCATATTTCAACACTTTCTATCTGGTTCCAGGAGTCCTAAAATAATTCAAACAACCTAATTCTTTTCCTCCTGGGATTCAATTGTGCCCTTTACCCTATATATACATTATTGCCGCAAATTAGAGGGGGGATGAGTGTGTCGTAACCTGCAATCATCCATTGAAGTCGCTGGAGTTTTTTGGGTTCTTTCTATCTCTATTTTAAGTTTCAATGTTTATTTTAGATTATTTTTCAGTTATGATGAACATGTGTAACTAAGTTTCTTTTTAGTTAGAGGTGAATTCGAAGCCATGATCATATGTTTTATATAAATTGATTACATCCAGTTATTGTTTCATAAAATATGAATGCGATTTACTTATCTGCTTTATAGAGAACTTATTCTTGTATGTTTATTAAGGATACATACTTAGTTTGCATGCATGGATTTGATGCTAGAATATAAGGGAATTTCACCTAATCGTTATGAACTTATATTTGTAAGTAGTAAAAGTCACTAGTCATGATTGAGTTAAGTAAATTCTTGGCAGGAGTATCATGCTTTTCATAGTTACGAATGTTTTGTCAATGATTATGATTTTCACATAACTTAATGATCTTTGAGATATATCTCTATCATGCTTTTCATAGTTAGGGAACTTGAGAAGAATAATTTGGTTGCGTTGATGAGTCCAATTCAATGAACTTAGGAAAATCTGAGAGTTTATTAGTTTTGTTCACAGTTAATTTTGGGCATTGTCATTCGTGGTTTATAGAAAGAATAACTGGAAATCGATTTGTATGCATATGTTTCATGTGTGGAAAAGAATCATCTAGCTATCATCTCACCCATATTTCATTCACAACTTAATTTACTTGTTGACATTTACTTTTGTTTTCATTAAATTCGTCCAAAATTCCCCCAGTCACTGTTTTAATGTTAGTTTAGTTTAGTTTTCAGTTTTATAAGTTTAATTTGTGTTGATTAGCATCCCTTCTAATCCCCGGAATAAAACGATCCCTACTTACTCATACTACGATTGCATAATTTATAGGGTTTAATTTGTGTGTTAGTTTTTACCACATCAGATGACAAAAGCCAAAAGCAAATACAACAACCATTACAGAAGAAAGACGAAACAAATTATCAAATAATTTCAATACTTATGAATATTATACTATATTATATAGTATATAATATTAAGGGCGCATTCGATGATGAATATAAATCGAGGACCCTATAACCATATCCGAAGCCATAATTGAATAATATTTACAGTTTTTTCTCATATTCGGAAAATACCTGAATTTCAAGGCTCAAAAAGTCGCATTCGATGACGAATATAAATCGAGGACCCTATAACCATATCCAAAGCCATAATTGAATAATATATTAATAGTTTTTTCTCATATTCGGAAAATACCTGAATTTCAAGGCTCAAAGTCATTCTCCACAAGGTTTGAATAAATAATTTGTATTTAAAATCAACTCTTAATTAATTATCGGAAAATGTTGATTTTGGAAAATAATAAAAACGAATTTAATAAAAACAATTTAAAAGATTCGACAAATGGAAAATCTAACTAAAAGAAAACGGTTTTAAAAATCAATTTAAAAAGACACTAGGGTTCCTGCGTTGCCATTAACAATTGTATGCAATTATACTATCATTCACTACCCACAAGAAAAGCCACAACATCAAGAGCAACTTCCATAGCACAACTACTACACCAATAGTGCGATATCCCGGTAACCATATCTGAAGCCATAACTGTTTGCTCAGTTGGCAAAAGTGGGATTTATATATAAAAAAAATGGTTTGGATGTGGTATTAAAAATGAAATCATGTAGTTACAACTTGTAAGTTGTTTTGTCAAACTCCCGATGTAGGATTTCCAACAACATGAAAAACACGAACAATTTTGAGCTCTGAGTTTTGATGACAATTGGCTAAATACTCTTCTGGAAAACAATAGAGAGAAACACAAGAACAAATCAAGGAATCAATGGTACACAATCCGATCCGATCCGATCCGATCCAAGTTAGAGAGGCTTGGTATCTATAATAATCACTCAACCCTCCCTAATCTAACACAACTTCGTTGCCATCGTCCCGATTATCAAGCCTTTGGAACTTTGTACAACTTCTCCACCATCTTCCTATATTCTGCAAAACACACACACACAGGAAGCATTACTCAGTCACACACTTCTCATGGTAACAATTCTTTTTCGAAAAATTAGTAAAATAAATAATAAGTAAAAGGGAAGTCAATTCAAATGTGTCGTTACCTTCTTGGTTGCTCCACAATTGTGCTGCTTGGGCATTCAAAGGAGAGTTGATGTTTGGTTCTGCAATTCACATAAAACAAAAATTGAAATTCGATACGCACTCCACATTCGTTTCAATTCAGCGTTTATTCAATTCGATAAGCAAAAGTGTTAGAGAAAAGTGATTACCTCCAAGAAGACTCTGGATGGATAAGAGTATGGTTCTCACATCATAAGCAGATGACCATTTATCCTGCAATCAATTCATTGAGATACATTGGTCAAATGATATCGTGCTTGGTTTCTGAACGATATTATAACTGAGAAAGTGCGAGACTAGTACAAGTTTGGAGAAGTTACCTGTA